GGGCCAGATTAACATAGTGGCTTTTTGGGGCACCAGCCCCAGGCCCACAGACCCCAATGAGGAAAAATAGACACCCCGAAACCCAGGAAAAATAACAGAAAATCTGGTTTTATGGTTTTTAATACAGAGTATTTAGGCCCACTTGCAGTTACAGCCTTAGGCCCCACAGCCCTTTAATCAGACTCATAACCTACTGTATAGGCTTTGCTCTGCTGCATGCTCTTTACAAACTAAAAAACCTGCATTCCACTCAAATCTTGAATGCTGTCCAACGATTTCATTACCAGTCATTCTCTTGTTACTTTTCCTTAAATTTTTAAATTTAATTGTTTTTTTTTTAATTATTATTATTATTCTGTATATATGAACATACAATGCAATAGCACAACGGTGGAACATTTAAGTCAACTTTTTTTTTTTTTTTATTTCCTTCACATCCAACAGCAAGTATACTCACCACTTCAGGATTGAACAATGCTTTATAGACTAAGTCTCTTTATGAGGCTTAGTGACAGGAGTTGAACCCATGACCCTGGTGTACTTTAGAAGGCAAGCATTGTAACCGCTAAGCTATTTAACTCTACTCCAACTTCTAAAAACAATACAAATTGAATATGAAAAAAATGTGTTTAGAAGGTGCTTGAAAACGAAATGATGCATTTATACATAAATTGAAACTTAGAACAAATTTTTATATATGTTTTTTTCTTCCTCATGACAGAAGAAACTAAACGCAATGATGAAAGAAATTGATGAACAAGAAGGTGCTCAGGTGGTGAAACTTGGTGATGCTAGTATAGCTTCACCTTTCACCTCAAAGCTGTCATCTACTAAATGTGGTAAGATGTAGTTCCTACATTGTAGGTAGGAAATACAAACAGTACTCATAAACCCTGCATAGTTCTATCTTGGGAGGAAAATGACATACTTGTAATGTATTTTGGGAAGATTTCTGTGTGTATATACAGTATTATTAGTAGTAATAATAATGATCTTTTTATTTTGAATTTAGTGTCGCATATAATTAAGCAAGGTCGCTGTACTTTAGTAACCACACTGCAGATGTTCAAGATTCTAGCTCTAAATGCATTGATCTTGGCCTACAGCCAGAGTGTCCTGTACCTTGATGGGGTGAAGTTTAGTGACAGCCAGGCAACATTACAAGGCCTACTGCTTGCTGGTTGCTTCTTATTTATATCACGATCAAAGGTGAGGTCGTATTGATTATAAACATTACTTATACACCAGTGGCATGCTTTGAGCTGGGCACTTACTATGCCTGACTGTTGTTGACTGACGGGATTTTAAAAGGAACGCAATGCGACGTGATTGTTTGTACTGACGAGATCCGATGAGAAGGCCACTGCCAATCAGCAGACTGTGTCGCATCGTCTAGCCCTCACTCAGGTTGTGGAATTAGATTCGTCGTGTGAAGTTCGTACCATCGGCGTACAGTGCAATGTGTGCCCGCGTTTAATTTTCTAAAAAATTGGATTTATAAGCGAGCATGTGCAATAAACCTTTCGCTATGCCACGCCCTTTGGATATTGTTGCCAAGGTCCCAAAAAACGATGGTGTTAAAACATACGCAAACACGGGACAGCACACATGCTTATTAGACACATGCGTATTCCTGGCCCATTTCTGATTGGTCAGTTGATAAGTTTGACAATCGGGAAAGATCCATTTGCAACACTTCACCCGCTGGCTCTCTCTTTTAAGTAGATATCTCTTGAATAAATCTGGAGTTGATGTTCTTACAGTGGGTGTCCCTGGAATAGATGTCTATTTACAAAAATGTCACCAAATCCATAGTGAGGGCATCAGTAATGCTTTCATATAGATCAGAAGTGAAGCTGTGATCTGGTGGTTAAAATGCCCCACTTCCAAACCCAAGGTCTTTGATTCAATTCTGCAAAAATGTGTCCATAATTTTCTTCACTAAAAAAAAAATCATACTTCAAAGTGGCAACTTGTTACAGAGCATAAGCTTTATGTTATCGTATGTCCCTCTCCCACATGAAAATATTTTAATTACCTGTTCAAGCCCAACATGTAATAAACAGATCAATTCGTATACATATTTAAGACTACTTGTTTATCTTGTTGAATCATTTAAAAAAATATATATTCCTCTCTGTCTTACAGCCACTAAAGGTTTTATCCAAAAACAGGCCTTTACCCAACATATTTAATGTGTATACCATTTCTACGGTGCTAATACAGTTCGCAGTGCATTTCACAGCTTTAGTATTTTTAGTGCAAGAGGCCAAGTCTAGGTCTAATAGGTAAGCAAACTGTTTAAATCATTTATGCTATCTAATTTGAACATTTAAAACATTGGTCCCATGTTCATCATAGTCGAAACGCATGTTGAAGGATGCAGTACACTCTTTAAAAAAAAGGGACAGGGGGCCTTGAGCACCATTGGTGGAGATGTGCGCTTTATAAATCTTTATTATTATTATTATTATTATTATTATTATTATTATTATTATATCACAGGGTTCTGTTAAATTCACCACTATAAGACAAAATTTTACTTTATTTTGTTATAATAATTGATTATAAAAATATGTCAATGAACAACTGTAACTATAAATAAGGAAATTTACCTTTTTCTTATTTTCAGAGAAGAAAAGATTGATCTTGAGAAAGATTTTGAACCGAATATTCTTAACAGTACCGTATATATCATCTCCATGTCTTTACAATTGAGCACTTTTGCTGTAAATTACAAGGTACAGTAAAGAAACCTATTTTATGTGAACATAAAGCTGTGGCTTAATATTCACTTTTATTCCAATATTATAGAAGCATATCCAGTGGAAGGGGTTTTTTTTTTAATTAAGGATTCAATACCTGCCCATATATTATAATATAAAATATTTCTGTGCACATATGTTTTACTTAAGTTTATATTTTGAAAATGTTTGAGGGATAGCATGGATGCACCTAACATGTGTCAAGTCTTCATAAGTCCTTTTTAGTCATAAATAGAGATTCTACTATATAATGTAAATTATTTTTTCAGGGTCATCCGTTTATGGAAAGTTTACGTGAGAATAAACCACTGCTGTTCAGCATAATATTCTCCGCTGTTGGAATTATCAGCTTGGTGTCTGGAATGGTACCCGATTTGTCTCATCAGTTTGAGATCATCGATTTCCCAGAGGATGTAAGTAAAACACTTTTTAAATCAGTCAAGCGTGTAGGAGCACGCGACGTGTAGAATATCATTTTCAGAGTTAAACCGTTGATGTCCCGAGATAAGCATCCTTTTGTTGAATTGCCTTAAATTAACATATAATTTTATTTTATTACTAATTATATGTTACAACCACTAATTCTTCAAGGTCTACTAAGATTGGGGGCTTTACAACCTAAATGTCCATTTTATCATTTATAATTTAATACTTCTTTGTGGCGTATCTAGGGGGTGTCCATTGGGGGTACACACCTCCCAAATAATACTTGCATCGTCCCCAAAAATAATGCTTAAGTAGTTAAAATCACCTCAAATCTCCATATTTTGTGAGCTACAGTAGTTCACCTAATCATCAAGTCCCCAATTCACCTTCGCACACCCACATCAGACCTCCTCCCCCTCTTCAAGACTCCAAGATATGCCACTGATACTTCTTGATTAGTGTTATAATTTGTGCATTAATTTTAGTATTATACTGTGAATATAATATAAAAGAAGCCTGTATGATATAAAAGACCCTGTATACAGTACATAGATGACACCCTCTCTCAGACAAACTGTTCTTATCATGAAATTAATTCATATGCCCAGTTTTTTTTTTTTTCTTTCAGTTTCGTCTGATACTTATAAAAGTACTTGCTGCTGATATGCTTGCTGCTTTTCTTATAGATCGCACACTTCAATTTATCCTAGGGGGTGGTAGACTACGATCGGTATGAAACAAATATAGTGAATTATGAAAATGTCACACAACCATTTTCTAATCGCCAGCTTACTGATTAGACCATGGCATAGTGAAGGTCTGTAATTATAGATCAACATCCAAGTCACAAGTATAACTAGCTAAGTTTATAGACCTAAGTTTATAGACCTAAGTTTATAGACCTAAGTTTATAGACCGTTTATAGAAGCCTGCCCAATGTGTGTAATGCTGAAAGCATCGAATGACAATTCTAATTTAAGTAAGGAAAACAACTGCTCTGTGTAAGCTGAATAATACTGTGGCATTTATTGGTAATCAAGGATATGATTAAATCTAAAGCATTTTAAATTTAATAGATGTTTGTGCACTCTTTAAAATTCTGTATATACTAAAATCAGGCGATTCAAATGAACCTTAAATATATAAATTTATTGATTAGCATGTTGTCTTGTATTGTCAATCTTAATTGTAAACGCCACACAGTGAAAATCAACCCACTATATTGATTTCAAGTAAAGTAATTATATTTCTGAAAATATTTTTTTCATAATTGTGATATTCACACCTGAATTTTAATTAGTTGATTGTTTAATTATCAATAGTATCTGTTGATAATATCAATATGTCATGGACAGTGTACATATCAAACTGTTTGATAAAATTGCAATCATAAAATTTAGCGAGATATTTATATTTTAATATCGTCCAGTGGAGGCATCCAGTACAGAACATGATATTCAAGGACAAGATTAAAACAAGTTTATAAAGTCAATTTCCTAGAAAGATGAACTTCAGTAAAGGTTGGAAGGAAGAGAAATGATGAATAATAGCAGTCCCCTTACACCCAACTTTTCGCAGATAATTCAAATGGTAACAGCAGGTGCCTGCCCTAGATGAGCCCAGCAATTGGGGAACCACGGTAAAATCTGTGGTTCGGTTTAGTGGTGAAAATGAAACATGGTAGGGCTGAGGTGGGTGTGGACTCTGGCCCATCTGTCGGAGAACAGGCAAAAAGCACTCCCAGATGGTAAAGTAGTTATGCAACTGGTCAAGCAGTTTCAAATAAGTTATATGGGAGAATAAGTATGCCCATTTACACTGTGCTTGTTAAATCAATCATTTAATTTATTATTCATCATTTATTATTATTATTATTCTATCAAGGATTTTATATTATAAGTCCTTGTATAGTAATTGACCCGGTGCTTGTTAAATCAATCATTTAATTTATTATTATTATTCAATCAAGCATTTTATATGCAAGTCCTTGCATATTAATTGATTCGAGTGGATGATGTCAGTCAGACTCTGCTTGGACTTGTATATTATATTTTCCACAAAACATTCTTGGTTGTAGTAGTATGACACTGTGTATATCGAAAAGTCCGAGTTGTGGGTGTTTATAAGCCAGTGGCTATAATTACACCAGTCTTAAGCCTCATTTACACTATACACGATACAGATGCGCGCAGTGTTGAAGAATGCATACTACGCGATGATATGTCGTCGTCGTGTCGTAATCGTGTCTAGTGTAAATGTGGCTTTAAACGAATTCTTAACTCTGATATGTTATTGTATGTATAACATCCAGTCAGAATAAGGAATTCGTTTAAAACTGACGTAATTATAGCCACTGTCTTTTAAAACAGTCCTGTACTCTATATCTATAATAGGTAACTTGTTGAAACGTGTTATATTCAACTTTCAGTGTATTTTTTGACCAGGTATATTTACGACGGCCGCCCTCTCTCTGTCTCATTGCTACTGGATTTTGTCCAGTATACGATCCTCGATATTGAATTAAACGTGATAAATGCAGACTCGGTGTATGTCTTTGTTTTTCATTAAGAGCCTCCATATCGTTGAATAGCCTTATTTATGAATAAATCCAATGCATATATTTTTGTTCACACAAAATCAACGTTAGTGCAATAATCACAAATAATCAAATTTCAAAATATGTTAAATTGTGAAAGGAGCTAAAGTAATAACCATTAGTTAAAGCTATTTTGATAATGAATACATTTATTATAATAGCACTATTTGACTTAGAATCGATATTATTATTAAACTCGTCATTCTGCCTGAATACGCGTTCATTAGGATACCTAGTTACATTGCTTTAAGACATCATAAATTTCCATATTCATATTATACAAAATGTGCATGAATTCCCTTTTTATTCGTAATGGTAAAAAAAGCAGTTTACTCTTAACACAAACACGAGACTCGATACAGAATAACCTAACAAATTGTATTATAGAATATTATGTTTTCCCCTTTATTTAGAAGAATGTTCACAGCATTCGATTGATAGGTTGGGTTGTCCTCCAAACGCATGCATTATATTTGCTATTTCGATATAGTTTTGAATTTTTTCACTAAACAAGCACCAGCGCCGACTTGACAGCACCACGGAGCCTGTTAACCCGTAGGTTATAGATATACGAGTTGACAGTGCCTTGTTTCTGTTGTGACAGTTAATTAGAGAAGAGGATTCTCAATTTTGACGCGTCATTATAATAACGTCATGCGTATTCTATCGTCATTTTTCTAATTAAAGTCTGACAGTTATGCAAAGCTTGTACTTGTGACAAAAAACTAATGTGCTACGCGAAGTAAACGGTTGTTAACAAAATATGTGTAGGGCTAAGATAAAAAGATTCTCTGTGCCTTGAGTGAACACTCCTAACATAGAATACGGTAGACTACAGGTCCTCGATCAGACCTCCGAGCCACCCGTGAGGGGAGGGTTGTCTAGGAGAGGGGGGAGCACCGGAAAAAAGTTAATAATTCTGTTGAGGAACACTGCTTTGAAAATGCATTTTTCCCTCAGAGTGCCATTTCCGAGCTCAAAGAGTTGCCTATTCTTAAAATTTCTTACCTCAACCCCAACCATGGTGTGGCTGATCTGGTCGTCGTCATCTCTCTATCGTGAGTATTGAATAAAGATGGCAGAAGATATAATATTTAGAGGTCGGTGGTACTGGCTGCTTGTGTCTGGGAAAGAAATTATCTATGTTAGTTCTTCTCTACCTAGGAGTATGGGTACATGGTAAAGATGATGTAATATTGAACTTGCTAGTTTGTTGAGGTGCGAACATACGCAAGACTATTCTCCATGGTTTCCATAAAAATCGCTAAACGTTATTGCCGACTCCTTTGGCGACACTGATTGGTCAGTTGAAACAGGCAGTTTTCCTGATTGCGTCGGGGTCAGCTACGCAGTGCAAGGATTGCAGTGAAAACGCTGTAGCGAATCTGTAGCGATTCTATGGAAACCAGGATAATGTACTTAATCGAAGAGTAGACGGCAACAAGTACGGTACAGTACAATATTTTACGATGTATAGTGCTTTCAATAAAGAATTTTTTTAGTGGAATTGTATGATATTTTAACTTTATTGTTATTTACCACAATGTTCAAAGCTTTACAATAAAGACGCATTCAGATAAGACATCCAGAAGAGGTTAACACAATTTAATGCTATAGTAAAGGAAAAAGTCACATAATTCTTGGTTGATGATATAGGCTATTGTCTAGCAGGTGTAGCTATAGAATGGTTCAACGACGGCGAATTAATACGGCCATTAATTTTTTTATTTATTTATTTTTTTGAAAATGGTAACTGTTAATACTGTATACGTTATGTTATGGTATCGCTACACTAAAGGAACTGGATAGCAACGAAGGAACAAATAAATACCCAGCAAGAAACCCGTTTGTGATACTCACGATGCAAGTAAATCGGATAAACATGTCTCTCGTGGGCTGAATTGGGAAAAAAATGACTTGGTCTTGGTCAATACAAACAGCTTTCCAAACGCCTGTAAACAATTAACAAAAAGAAAAGTCACACATAGCCTACATAACAATAGATTAAATCTTCAACCATTAAGAAACAGAAAAGTATTTGTTTCTGATACATGATAGGTCTATCTTAGATATAATTCAAAAGCATGCTATTGCTGTAAGTAAGGATGTTTTTGGTGGTGGTAGGGGTGATGATGATGATGATAGAATATATAGATAATGTTAATAATCATAATGAAAATCATAATAGTATTAATGAAAATAATTATAATGAAAATTGGATAGAGATGGCAAAAGGTTTAATATGTACTAACCTGGAGGTCGGGGGTTCTAAACCCTTGTACTGGTCGCTTGTGTATTTGGGCAAGACATTATCTGTGTTTAGTTCCTCTCTATCCAGCAAGAACCCGTTTATGATACGATGCAATTACATTGGATAAACATGTTGTCTCTCGCGGGCTAAATTGTCAAACTGGCTTTTCAGTTACTGAATTAATATCATTGAAGTGTTGATTGTAAAAATAACATGGCCTTGTTTTGTGTCATAATAAAATTATTAAGCTTATAGCTGCAAGGCCTATATAAACTTTCTCCGGTTCAGGTTAGATATCAATTCGCAGCCTCGAGATTTTGTTGCCAATATCCAGCCTGTTTACTGGTTCGCATACTATGACAATCGCTTAGCAACAAAATCTGACTGATTGTAAACGGGACCCCAGCAACTAATGAAACGACTGGTTTAACACCCGATTCTACCTAATGGAACTGATAAGTATCAGTTTCGGTGACATCACCATTCATGATGCCGTCAGCAACCCTGTAGGGGATTGTGATCAGATGATTGATGACTGGTCCTCTCACCAGTATATCAGTGTATCAGCATTTTTAGAATCGGCTGCAAATAAATGTGATAGTGGTGATATAGCTTTGTGGTTAAGGTACTTGCCTTGCAACAATCCCAGGGTCCTGGGTTCAAATCCTCTGACACCGTCTCATGACTAAAAATCATCTCCATACATATCCATGTAATTGTAGATATTACGAGGCATAAGTTATCCCTCGTAATGAGACTTAATTTATAAAGTAGCCTATCTTAATATTATTTTATTTATTTAAGCGGGCCTCTGAATGTCAGCTGGAAGGGTCGCCCTCTATAAATGTGATATAATGAAAACCCGGTAGCAGTAAGTTCTCTTTTTTGAACAAAAACGTAGAAAACTCAATCTTATTTTATAGATTAGAAATGCCAGTGTATTTAAAAATGATCAAATTTGCTCGTGTGCATTTGAATTGCATTAAGTGGGTCTAAATTCGATCAACGTGTATGGTATTTGAACCCCATTACTCATATAAGCGGTATGCTGTCTTGATGAAATTCAGACTTTTTTGTTGTTGAGATGCGGGGGATAAAAAGACCAGTTGCTTGTATGCTTGCTGATTTTGATCTGACAAACGATGATGATGCTTTTTGTTTTTTGCAACTATTACCGGTAATTAGTCATGTAGGCTTATTCTAATTGTTCATTTTGTTACTATCAATATCAGTATCATTATTATCATCATTACCATTATTATAATAGTTGTTAGGCTACCAATAACATGTATTATGTTTATTAGAAATATTATT